GTGTTTGTAAACTGCCCACCAAAAAGCACGGCATATAATAAATAAATAAATAAAATGTCCTGCCCGTTATGGAAATAAATAAAAATAAAATTCTACCATCCCTTCTCCAGCTAAAATGAGACAAAAACACCTTCTAGAAACTTCCCTGCACCTTTCTTCTCCTTCATAATTCTGTTCAAAGACCTACAAATCCTACCTTCCTAAGGGCACCATTTTATCAATTGTATTTTTAATTTCAATTCCTCTTGCTCAACAACACTTTTCTGGTCAGATCAACATTTAAACTTGTACAAGGCTAACTTACCTCAAAAAATCCCCCCCAAATCCTCTTTCTTGCTTCCTTTCATTTCCTTCTGGCCTCTCTACTCCCCTTCTTACAAGAGACATCTGAGTTAACTCTCCTTCCTCCTTCTCAATCACCACCCCACTCACCACAGTGTAGTAAGGACAGTCATCATCACACTGAAATTGCTCCTAGCACGGTCTGCTGGGTCTGTCTTTGCAGCTAATGAGCTCTTCTCAGGCCACAAGTAGCTTGACCTCTGTTTAGCACTGGATGTCGTGGCTGCTTCCTCCTTGAAATATTCTCTTCCCTTGCCTTTGTGGTGCTGTTACCCTTCCATGTCTCTGACCTCTGGGGATATGTCTATCTCGTAAGTGAGCTCAATAATCTTTAGCTTTATTACTGTTATTATTTATCATATTATTATTATTAGGCATCAGACTTTCTTTTCTAGTGAAAAAAATTATATTTAAAGTTATTCAGAGCCTCCCTGGTGGTGCAAAGGGTTAAGCACTGAACTATGAAGCAATCTGCAGCCTCTGCAGCACGAGTTCGATCCCCAGCCAGCCAGGGAGCAACCCACATGGTGAAGCAGACCTCTTCTGTCTCACCCACTGCTCCCCCAGCAGTATATTTAATTCAGTATGCCTGTTCTGTTCCCCACTCTGTCTCCGGTGAATCCTCTCACCCCCACATCTCTGGCCTGTACTCCGGTTCTTGTATGCATAAATAAATAAATCTTAAAAAAAAAATAAAGTTACTCAGCTTGACACAGTTTTGATGATCACACAACTTTTCTGGCAATATCCAAAGCATGGGAGTCAACAAGTCCATGGAACATTTGCCTTCTTCTCTCCCCAGGTCAGGTCAGGGTGTTGACCTTGACCATGTCAGTGTCACAGAGCTTCTTCACAGCCTGTGTGATCTGGTGCTTGTTGACCTTGGCATCCACCATGAACACAGACATGTTGTCTTCTATCTTCCTCATGGCTGGCTTGGTAGACAGGGGCAACTTGATGATGGCACAGAGGTCAAGCTTGTTTCTTCTGGGGGTGCTCTTCCAAGGATAACTGGGGTGCCATCAGAGCCACAGTATTTTGGGCTGTTGGAGGGTGGGTGGCAATGTAGAACCTTTTTCTTTTGTAGTTGTGGATGCACTGCTTTCTTGGCTTCAGCTCTGAGAGGGACAGGGGCTTCCTTCTAGTTTTTTAGCACCATCTTTGTGAAAAAGAGACCCTAGTCTTACTAAACTCTTTCTAATTACTCAACTAAACTTCCTGAATTCTAAGTCTTCACTTATGTGGTTCCCCCTTCCTGCAATTCTCTTCTCCATCTTCTCTTCCTTCTTTCATTGAGCTTCCTTCTCTTCAACTTTTATCTCACCTAGAAGCTTCTTCTTTCTGTAAGTCTTCCCTTTCCTCCTCAGGTCTGGGCTGGCTGCTTCTCCTGACTACTTGCACTCAGCCTATGCTTTTCCTATTATGTAACTTATCACACTGCACCACACTCGGGTTTTCTTGACTGGCTCTGCCCTTTGATCGTGAGTTCTGTGAGTCTAACTGTGTTGGCTTTTAGCATCTAGCAACATGCCTGGAACACATAAGAGTGAACAAATGAATGAATAAATGAAAGAACGGACATGGCATTCTTTTGTGTTGGACTGGGAGTTAGTATTCCTCATAGATATTTTCCCCTTCCCCACCCCCTCATCCTCATATATTTTGAATGTTGCCTATTATTTTTTTTTAAAAGATTTTATTTATTCATGCAAGAAATGGGGCGGGCCTCCCCGGGTGGCGCAGAGGTTGAGCGCTGGGCTGCGAGGCTGCCCGCAGCCTCTGCAGTGCCAGATCGTTCCCCGGCCGCCAGCGAGGGTCCCACAAAAAAATGGGGGACAGGCCAGAGATGCGGGGATGAGAGGATTCACCAGAGACAGAGTGGGGAGCAGAACAGGCAGACTGACTGAAATACACTGCTAAGGAGAGCAGTGGGCATGACAGGAGAGGTCTGCTGTGCCATGTGGGTGGCTCCCTGGTCAACCAGGAATTGAACACACGCTGCAGAGGCTGCGGACAGCTTCACAGCACTGCGCTCAACCCGCTGTGCCACTGGGGAGGCCCACATATTATCCTTTTTTATCTTTTTTTTTTCACATTTATCATTTTTTACATTTTTTAGACAATATTTGCTTTCCTCCACTCCCTCAGTTTGTGTCCCCATAGAATTTCCTTCCCCAAGGCACCCATGCACCATCACCACAGTCCCCTGTGCTCCCCCTCCCTCCCTCTCTCCCCTCTCCCTCCTCCTCCCCTGCAGTATGTCTCTGGTTTATAATTGTCTGTTTTTGCATTGTTGTGTTTTGTACTGCTATTACTATTATTTTTTACACTGATGTCTTATTTGGTTCCCCTATATTCCTGCTATAAGTGAAACCATCTGATATTTTTCTTTTTCCTTCTGGCTTATTTCACTGAGCATAATTCCATCTAGCTCCATCCATGTTGCTGCAAATTGCATGTGTTTATCTTTTTTGAATGCTGAGTAATATTCCATGGTGTATATGTACCACATCTTCTTGATCCAGTCATCTATTTTTGGGCATTTGGGCTGTTTCCAGGTTTTACCTATTGTAAATAGTGCTGCAATAAACATACGATCCAGCAATTCCACTACTAGGGATCTACCCAAAGTACACAAAAACAGTGATTCAAAAGAGCACCCGCATATTATTCTTACATGAGCTCAGTCAAACCACTTCTCTAAGAATCAGCTTTCTCATCTATAAAATGGGAGGAAGTAACGGAATATTCCTGAGAGTGTTTTGCAGATGTTCTCTCTCTTTTTGAATCCATTTGAAGACTGAACAAAGCTGAGACCTAGATGCAAAGAGATAATGTTTGCACCTTGTCTGGTGTGGGGTCAGACACAGTTTCCTTAGCAGAATGATCTTTACCAATACTATCCAAGAAGGGAGAAAGGTAATTTTCTTACTGTAAAATAAAATAAAATCTACAGCAGCAAACAAACTTTCCCATTCAAGGAATTTCTTTTTTTCTGATTTATGAACAACAGGTTCTTCCAAGTCACTTTGCATTTGTACTTTGAAATAAATGAACAGTATTTTAACCCCCACCCTTTTACCTCTGATCACAGTGGAAAATTAGCAGGGGAAGACCCTGGTCTGTGGTCTCCAGTCCTCCCTGTGTCCATTGATAACATCCATAGCTCTGGTCCACGTGAGCTGTTCCCCACTCAGAGCCTGTTTGCCTAACCAATCCCCTTGATCCTCATGGGCACCACATCTTCCTGAGGCTTCCACAACCCCAGATGGTTTCTTATCCAGTCTCTGCCTGTGAGCTGTGGCCCCAAGGGCCCCTCTGAAAACAGGGGTCACCTCCTGGCAGGCAGACTTGCTCTCAAATCGAGTTCCCTTGGACTCTGAAACCTTCTGAAACTCCTTTTGAGACACTGGGAAGCTGTAAGGTGTGGCAAGAAGAGCATCCACAGGGATTTTATGGGCTAGGATCTCATGATTAGCTCCCATGATGCTGAACAGTACTTTATATGGCAGTAGTTTAAAACAAAGATTGTGAAATTGAATGGCTTTTTCTCGCGCCATTTCTCTGCCAAACCATTGCCTGTCACGTATGCTCACTTTGATTCCAAGTTTATCTTGAGATCCTACTCCCTCTCAGGGTTTTGGAACCAGTGTAGGAATGGGGGTGGGAGGCCAAGCCCCCCTCTCTTTTGTATCTATCTATGTTACTCTCCCCTTCCTCTCCTACCCCTATCCTGCCTGATGGGAAACACTTTTCTATCATGTCCCGTTTTTCCATACTCCTTGATTTCAGGTAATTTATAAAAAAGCATTTTAAAATAAAAACATTAACTGGATGCATAGGCTTACAATGAATGTGATTTCCCTTTTCCAAATCTATGTGATAAGCCTGTTCATCTTATTCCAGTTGGAAGTTCTGTTAGGCAATATGCATGGCATTGAGTAATAAAAATGAACAGATGTATTAATCATTAAATCCTTTGCTAGAAATATTGTACTTTATGAAAACATATAATTGGATAGACAAAGTCTTTTAAAATAAAGGGTCTATAGAAGTAAATCCTTAGTATATAGAGACCTCAAAGACTTTTTAAGAATTGGGAGACCACGCTCATGTAATGGAATGGCATCACTTACTGAATTTCAGTAGGGGTTTACTTTCAGACATATTTCTGGTTGTTGTGAAGGATTTGTCCAGAAGCATTCTCATCCCTTTCTAGTTCATCTTGTAACATTTTTTTTTTTTTTTTCAGGGCGGTTGACTTGAACTAAGGCAAGGGATGGATTGATGCATTTGTTTGGGCTCATTTGGAATGTGGGCTCCCCAGTAGACTTGGAGGCAGCCAACTCTCCATTAGGGGACAGGCAGGACCACTGAAGCCTGGTTAGAAGTGACCAAGCTTTACTATAGTTGTCATTACTATGGCTTCCTAAACACTTCCTCCTAATAGCACTATGACTCTTGAAGAGAAGCAGAACTTGTTTCTGAGGTACCTGTGTGTCTAAGAGAATAGGGCTTCCGGAGGATGTGGAGGAGATGGGGGTTGGACACTCAGGGTCCCCCTCACCTTATTACTACCTTCCTCTCTTTCTCCTATTGTTCTTGAGCCTAAATGTCTTCCTATCTCTCTTCCTTCCCACCTCCCTCCACATCCACAGATGGGGTGGCTGCGTTCCGTGCCTTCTTGAAGACGGAGTTCAGCGAGGAGAACCTGGAATTCTGGTTGGCCTGTGAGGAGTTCAAGAAGACCAGGTCAACTGCAAAACTGGTCTCCAAGGCCCATAGAATCTTTGAGGAGTTTGTGGACGTGCAAGCTCCGAGGGAGGTGCGTTGGTAGTGGCGAGCATTTGTCAGACTTCTGTCCATGGCTCCTGACTCATATCCCTCTCCTCGTGGGAATGTGAACCAGGCTTGATGGGGGCTTCTGAACTGAGCCGCTCTACTCTGATGGCTTTTCATGAAAAAGGGATCACTTTTCAGGTGCAGAGTCCAGGATTTCTATAAAAGGAGTTCTACTGTCTGTCAGTTAAACCGGTACCAGCAGGAACTGTGTTTTTATAGAGAAACTGCAAGGAGAGAGGTCACTGAGTCCATGTTAGTCTTCCCAGTGGAAGGCAGCACAGCTAAGCATAACAAGCCTCTGCTTTGGAGTCTTGTTCCAATCTCAGCTCCACCACTCACTAGCTGCATAATCTTGGTTAAGTTACCTGGCCTCCTTTAACCATGTTTTCTACCAATGTTCTATACCCAGTGTAAAAGGGTATAGTATCACCTACCTTTCCAAACTACTCTGAGTATTAGAGATAAAGCCCCTATTGAAAATCTATCACTGCCTATTAAAAAATAAGTATATTCTTTATAATAATTATATAAAAATAATACTATTTTATGATAATGGATTATAATTATTTATAATACATAACGAATTTCTATATACTGCTGTCCTGAGTAATAAAACAGAATTTCACTTGGAAGGTATTGATGGAAGAAAAATATTTGCTACCTATGGGTTTAGGTTCATTACATACCTAGAGATCTCCACTTAAGCTTTGGCTTGGGATGCAGGTGCTCTTTGGCCACCGGCCAGGAATTTGTCGACTAAATACCACACTGGTTGGAACAGAGATGTACTTTCTAACCAGAGTCTCTTTCCCAAGTGCATTTGTTTCCTTAATGGTTCAAAAAAGACAAGAGGCCAACCATACATTTGGAAACCCACATTAATTTGTCTCTAATCTAATCCATTGCTTAACATGGTGGAGACCCCTGGACTGGGAGTTAAATGATTTGGGGCTTTGCCTTGGCTCAGTTACTAACTTTCCACACCACTTTAAACGAGCTTTTCAGTATCTTTTTTCTTCAGGGTCCTTATCTATAAATTGTGACAAAAATTACATGGTCTTCAGACCTCCCAGGATTCTTATTAAGATCAAAAGGGATGACTTCATAAAGACAGTTTAAAAAGCATGAATAACCTTGCACAGATAAGATGCTGTCAGTAATAATTATTACATAGCAAAGACCAGTTGCTCAGTGCCTTGGCCCTGGAGGGCCTGTGACCACGTTCTCTGTTTGTGTCTTTAGGTAAACATAGACTTCCAGACCCGAGAAGCCACGAGGAAGAACATGCAAGAGCCATCCCTGACTTGCTTTGACCAAGCCCAGGGAAAAGTGCACAGCCTCATGGAGAAAGACTCTTACCCCAGGTTCCTGAGGTCCAAAATGTACTTAGATCTGCTGTCCCAAAGCCAGAGGAGGCTCAGTTAGACCTCAGATGGGACTCTCGGAGATCATCGGCTTTCCCCTACCCCTTGCTGCCAAGACCATATTCTAATGTGAAATGTCATAAGTGTTCAAAAGCAGAGGCATTTAGTTTGGGAGGCTGGGAGAGCGAGAAAGGGGTGAAGGGCCATTCCAAAGTATGATCCTGCCACCAGAGCTTGGACCCTGTTCCATGTACCCATGTTTGCGTATGGTTAGTGGTAGCCCCTTGCTGCTGTCCACCTTCTCTGGGTCAGCCACTTGTCCTCCATAATGCCTTGGGTCATCTCCACTGAGAAGGCAGATCTGCTATGCTGGGCAAATTTGTAAATAATGCAAATGCAATTTCCACCATTCCCACACCCTCCTTGGTTAGGACTCCTGACCCTAATTGGTCCTGCATCTTTACGAGGAGCAGTTAGAAGATACTGGCTCATGTTTGTGATTTATTGTCATAATATAATGGCCAGTCCTAGGTGCTGGGCCCTCACAGTTTAGGAGAGAGGTCTCTGTGGAACTCTAGGTTTCCAGCACTGTCATTGACAGGTGGCCTCTGGGCAAAGGGGCCAGCTCCATGGAGTTGACTGTTTCTTTCCATTTCTATTAACCCAGTATGAAAAGCTGTGACCACTGCCCTTCTTAGCCTAAGAAATTCACGAGGCTCTCCTACCCTTGCAATTCCAGAAAGGGTCTTGGGAGACATCCCTCTTGACTTCTGAAGTGAAGCTGCTACCAGGAAAGACACAGCTTGCAAATCTTCCTCAATTCAGCTGAGAAGTTTTCCAAAAGTCAAATGACCAGGGAATGTAGTGTCAGTAGATTTTTGTGCAATGGGGCTCCACAGAACCTTCTTGTTGCTTAATGTATTCTATGCCCTTGCCACCCTGTGGCACCATGTATCACTGATTTCTTAGAATGAGACAGCTTGGCAAAGGGAGGTAAATCCCCCTAGTGCAGACAGTTCTCACAGTGCCTACTACTTTCCCTGTCTCTGCCCATCACCCATTCCATGCAGGTCATGTAGGTACGATGGGGGAGAATGGGAATGTAGGCTGTCACTCTCTTTCCAGCTTGCTTCCTGGGAGCATGCTTTCTTAGATAGGTTCCTCTAATGAGGACCACCTACTCAGCAGCTTCTTTCTTGATCTTTGACCTTTTGGGATTAAACATACAGCAGAAGGTGAGGCTAAGAAGAGCACTATGTACATCTGGATGTGGAGAACCTTCCTAAGATGCTTTCAGGGGACCCTGGGACTGCTTTTGGAAATGTGTTGGCAAACTCCCTTGGAGGATGAGTGAGACACATGGAACCTACTTTAGCTGCCCAGTCAAAGAGCTGACTTTGGCACAAGATTGCAGTATCAAGAAGATGAATCTTCAGTAAGAAGACCCGGAAGTGGATGTGGAGTCTGGAAGAGGCTGCTCTCCAGATGAACCGAAATCAAGAGAATGTGATGGTGGCCCTATGGGTATTTCCCAGCCCATGGATTTGGATTCACTGTAGATCTCCAAAACTTTCGGCTTAACACAGTGAGACAGCACATGATTAGCCATAAGCACTGGAGTGCAGGGTAAGATTTAGACAAGGCTGAAGCACTCTCTTCTGGGGGGCCGGGGGATGGGGCGGGGGGGATGGCTAGGCCTCTTTAGATGTGGCAGGCCCCAGTGTTTTTGTTCCTGTCCAATAACTTCACGAATCTCTTCCTTCCTTAGCTACAGCTAGATAAGGTCAAGAAGGCTCTCAAGTCCCAGTGGCTTTAGGGTCCACTGTTCTGTGTGTTGCATCGATGAGGGAGGATTGGCATGTTGTTGTGAACCATCAGGAGAGAAAAAAACACATGCAATTTAGTCCTCACATTGAAGAGAGCTGCGGAATTTCACATTCAAGAACTCTGTAGCCTTGAGTGGGTATTCCTTGTTAGATCAGGTAGTATTTTCCTGCCCCCACTGGCAAAAAACCATTCTTAGCTAAAGCTGCCAGAATTCATTTAATGATCAAATTCTCAAACAGGGTATTTTAAACATTGTTTACATGAGAAATGTGCATGTGCTGCCAACTCTGTTGAATATGAAATGCATGGAAATTGGAACAGCACAGTTACAAAAATAGGAAATGTTCTGGAGGGGCCTTTTTGCCACTTCCACTGTCCCCAGGAGAAGAGTCTGAACAAGGGTGTTGTGTGGTAGCCTCATCTGGGACCCAGAGTTCTTGCCAACAATGGTGGAATGAAGGCCGCAGATGGCAGTATCACGGTGCCTGGCGACTTCCTACCACCATGGGGAATGTGAAGGCCAAGCTCAGTATCCTCTCGGTATCCTGAATTTTGCCGCTAAGTGAAGGTATGTGGGCACATATCTGTGCGTAGAGGAGTGTGATAGCTGTATTTGTGGTACTCCTGTGGAGTGTGTGTGTGTGTGTGTGTGTGTGTTATCTGTAAGCATTCCACTAGCACACCACAGATGGTCTTCCCTTGGGGTGGGGCTTTCCTCAAACCCTTGATGTCCTGCTTCCCACCAAGGTACAGAGCTCTCTGCTCTGAGGCCGACTTTTCAGCACTTTGGCTGTGCCAACCCAGATTATGGTCTGTGATGAAACAAAGAGAAATGTTTACAACATCTAGAGCAATAGCCAAACATACCTCATCCCTGACCTCCATGGCCCCCGTCCTGCCCTCCCTCCTACTTCCTCTTCCATGAGCCCTCATCTACCTGGCTAGGTAGGCACCCGGTGCCTCTCCTGCACTGAACGTCTTCCTTTGCCCCTCCTGCTGGGTTTGTGTTGTGGGCTGCCTTCTGGACTCTCATCCTGGACCCTGCGAAGGCCCAAGGCAAGTCAGAGCAGTGGGTTCTGAGGGGCAGAACTATGACCTTTGGAATTGCTCTCCATCCCTGAGTGGCCTTTCACCCCCACTTGAGTGTTAATGTGTTTTGGGGCTGGTCTGAGATTTCCTGTTGCTCTCAGCAAACTAAATAAGACACAATCAATGACAACCATTCCTAGCTTCATGCAGTCTCTGGGGTAAGGAAGGTTCCTCTGAGTAGTGTGACCATTAAATGTTGGCATGCACAGGGCCTACTCAGAAACTCTCTCACAAATGCTGACTCCCAGATCTGCACTAGACACTAGTCCAATAGACCTGGGGTGGGGCCCAGAAATCTGCATTTTAAAGAAGCCCCCACATAGGTAGTGGCCTTTGGACAATTTTTTGCACAAGGACCATCTGAGATTGGCTCTCACACTTGGCTGCTTATTGGAGTCACCGTTGGAGTGAGGTGGAGTTTTGAAAACTGGGTTTGTGTCCCTCCCAGAACAGCTTGGGGTGGGGCCCCAGGCAACAGGTTTCCAGCTCCACAAGTGCAGGTGAGGTTAAGAAGCATTGATCTGAGAAGCTACAACTGAGCTTAAAACACAGCAGTGGTGTGGCCTAGAGGGCCAGAGCACCCCCAGGTGCAGATGAGCACAATAACCAGGAAGCTGCCCGTCCTGGAGTCTGCCTCTGGGGTGCTACCTCTGTGCTCTCAGTCTGACTTGCTACTGTTTTTGCCCCAGCTGCCTACATTTTTGGCAGTGGAAATGCCAACACTGGGGGCTCATGGGCTACAGGATGGATGGATGTTTGGCCAGGCCTTGGCAGCCTTGTTCAATGTGAGTGCTTCCTCCAAGCTTCCCTCCTGGATTACTTCCCCTGTTTGTCTATTTTCATGCACTCTTGTGTTTGGCCAGTTTGACATAGGCTGTGCCTCTGTACCCAAGGCCATGTAACATGGTGGTGGGAACTCAGGTAAGCAAGTAAAGGGCACAATTGTAATAATTGTGGTAACGCAATCTCCAAATTTCTCACTGCTAGAAGTATCAAGCTCTTTGAGGCTTTCCCAAGGCCATGTGGTGGTAGTGGTGGTGGTATGGGGGAGAAAGTTCCTGGTCTATGTCCCTCCCCCATTCCCTCTTCAGTCCCAGGCTGGATGGGCAACTGGAATGTTCCTAGTTGATTTTATTTTCTGGTGCTCTCCCCAGAACTTGCTGCTCTGAATCAACCAAAGCTGTAAAGTGTGTTCTGCCCAGGCCTAAACCCCGCCTGGGTGCAGACGTTGGGCAGTTCTCCTCAGCAGGGCCTGGTGTCTGGTCACGTGAGGCTCTGGACTGTGAGGGAAATGCATCAACACCTTATGAGAGCTGGGGGAGGGTGGGAACAGGGAAGACTGAAGAGGAAGGACCGGGAGGAAAGGCCAACAGTTAATGCGGGGTCTGCTGCTCCATAAACCAAGGGGAAAGTTGATGAGTGGCACATTTAGAGGCAGCTAGTCTCCCATCAACAAGTGTGCCCAGAACTCTCCTGACCCTGCCTGTGTTCACTTCCAAGCAAGGCCCAGGAATCAGGATTTTCCCATCTGAGATAGTCTTCCAATCAGCCAAGTGTCAATCTCTAAATATGCATCCCTCCAGGTTAGAAGCTAGAGGTGACAGTCACCCCTGGCACCAAGAGCCTGTGCTACTGTGTCACTTGGTATGAATGGTGGAGGAAGAAGTCAAGCGCACAGACGTCTTCCTGTCCCTCTCGCCTGACTCTACAAGTTGCTGTGGACCAAGATGGACAATGGCAGGATGGGCCACTAGCCTTCCAGGCTTGGCATCCAGGTCCTCTCTCTTAGCTGATCCCTTCTTGAGTCTTGCTCCCTTTGGATCCTTCTTCTCCCTCCCCTCTGCCAGGTGCGGACAAGGTGACTGGATTCGGTGTGCACTCCAACCTCGGTAGCCTTAGTTGAGTCACGCGGCGTGCACGACAGATTCGTAGCAGCTCATCTGCCATAGACACCGCTTGGCTGATGGAGTCCTCATTGAGTTATTTCATTACCGTGTAAAGTGGAATAATGTCATTCACCGTTACTATAAACAAGGCTGTGAGAACATAATAAACAATCTGAACATGCTGCCCTTCGCTCTCTGCCCACATTTCTGGCTGGCTAACTCCAGATGAGGAAATACTTCACATAACACATGGACTTCGGGGGTGGAGGGTGGAGAGGAGGTACACATGGCCTCACCACAACAGTGGCTGGCACTGGCACAGGGCTGACCACTGGGAGGAGAGCAGCGTGGGTGGAAAGGGAAGGGCTTGGGATGAGTGTGGGAGTAAAGAATAACTCTGGGAGATGAGAGCTTTGAAACTGTAAAGTGTTATACAAACACGAGGTGGTATTTTTATTAGTACCACCTACTGCTTGAAAATGCAGGGAGAGAAAAGACTGGGGATGGTTTGTGTATTTGTTCAGCTGGAGCAATCTGAAAATGGAATGAGTTGCTCTTGCTTATGATGGCACCTTGCTTTATGCAACCGGTGTGTCCCTAAAAAGTGTGCATTACTCATCCCATCTTTGTGTGTCTCTGATGACAGGGTCCTGTGGAGGGAACTGCAGGAGAATGAGGTGCAGCATCTGCACACAAAAGCTCATTATTCAAGTGAGGTGATAGGGAGTATACAAAATCTTTTTTTAAAGATTGATTTATTTATGCATACAAGACCTGGAGTACAGGTCAGATGTGTGTGGGGGGGGGGGTGAGAGGATTCACCAGAGACAGAGTGGGGAACAGAATAGACAGATCTGCTGAAATACACTGCTGAGGGGAGCAGTGGGTAAGACAGGAAAGGTCTGCTGCACCATGTGGGTAGCTCCCTGGGTTCTCCCTGAGTTCGGCCAGGGATCGAACTCATGCTGCAAAGGCTTTGGATAGCTTCATAGTGCTGTGCTTAACCCCTTGCGCCACCAGGGAGGCCCTATATAGAAAATCTTAATTCAAGTAATTAAAATGCATCAGAGAAAGTCTATTTCTAAAGGAAAGCTGATGTTTCCTCAGAGGTAAATGCTGTGGATGCAGTGAAAATGATCACCTCCCAAATTCCAGTTCTGTGTACTGAGCAATGAGTGGTGGCAGGTTAGAAACAGACAACAGTCCACTGGATCCCTGGGCATCAAGGGCCATGTGTCAGCTTCTCCAAGGGACCTCTACTCCTGCTCTCCTGGCTGTGAGAGGCAGGCACCCTCACCCACCTCCCCCTCCACTGCATTTCACTGGGAACTTAGAGATTTTTCTCAAACACAAAATCCTGCACAAATTTCCTTCGTAAATTCTCCCCAGCCCCCGACATTTTCTCTGTGGGACAGGTTTTGAGTGCCCCTCATTTGTCCACCATTCCTCCCTTAATTGTTTATTTGGTCTAGGGCCCTTTGGATCTGAACTCTCTCCTATACCTTGGCAAAAGCCTCTTGTAGATGGAAATCACTTCACCGTAAGTGGTACATCACTTTAACACAGTAAATGTGCATAAAAGCAACAAAGTCCCTTCTTGACTTACTATCTAAACCAAGAGCAGTGAGAGCTATGGCCAGAGGAAGACACGGAAGAGAGTATCTCCTTCTTGTGTGTACTCTTCATAGTTGGGGTCTGTCTTGGTTCCCTGTCCAGGGCATGAGGGATGCAGGTCCTGTGAAGGCTGGAGGGAAAGTTGGGGTCCATGCATGCATGCTCCCTCTCTGTTCATGCCTCACCCACAGCACAAAGGGGAGGCTAGCCCTCACCCAACTCCC